GGCGTCACGACATGGTTTCTGCAGCAACCAACGATACACATCACGGTCATGTCACTGTTTGGTCATGTTTAGGTATATGCATATATGTTCATACATTGATATATATATATATATATATATTTCTCAGGAATGTCTGCTATATATATATATATATCAACAGTTCTATATTGATCATCAACATTTAGAGTAACCCCCCAAAAAATAGAAAAGTAGAAAATAATTTACGGTCATTTATGTATAGTAAGCCATTTATCAACATTACGCCAAATTTATGACCCAGAATTAAAGCAATGGATGACCCGCGAACGTCACATGACCACGGCATACACTTTTTATGATATTGGATGGCCGGCTGGTTTCCACCATGTGAAAATTGGCAAATATTGGCAGAGAATGAATGTTAGTGGTTGTTTACCCTCTGGTAAACTAACATAACTATAGAAGATCACCATATTTAATAGGTAAATCAACTATAAATCACCATTTTCAATAGCTTTTTGTATGTTTACCAGTGACTGTTAGTGTCTAGCTGCAGATTTTACTTCAACCATCTGATAGAAATCCACACACCCACCTGTGTACACAAATGAGGCCAATGGCATGGCATAGCTCAACTCTCTTGCGAAGCAACAGTTCTGTACAATGCAACAACATAGTTCAATGATCCAAAATAGTTCAACTACTAGTAAACTATCTCGATCTCCGTGTTTTATTTCCGTAGATCACTGATTTGACTCATGTCCTTTTGTTTTTTGCAACAAGTGGTTCTAAAACTACTCAGAACTCGTAAACCGTAGCGACCAAACGCCGGTTGGCTCGGAACCATGTCATGAAGAACGGAAACGAATATCCTTCGCCGGCCCAGCTAAACAATTTGAGTATTTCCTACCTTCTAAGATGCCTTTGGATTTCTCTCGCAATGGGTTTGATCCTCAATAGATCCCCTTGGGATGTTTTTTTTGCCCCTTGGAAAATCAGAAAAGCCACCGGTCACTTAGGATCTCATCTCGATTTTCGGGATGTTTAGCGATGGTGGCATGGTGGTTTTCAAACACCATTTTTGAGGCACCATATATCGGCTGAGTTGATCTCTGTCTCTCTCTCTCTCTCTTTATATATATATATATATGTGTAGATAGATAGTTCAGTCTGTTCAGTCTACCAAATCATTACAAATCATCACAATCTAACAAGATATTCATTAATTACAAAAAAACAATTTTGTTGTTTTTCAATCGACCAAATCATCCATCGCGGAGATCGGTGAAACCACAAATGCTTCTTTGGGGTTGACTCAGTTGACTAATACTAAGATTCGGTCGCAGTGACTGCTGCGAAAAGCCCAATGAATTGCTACGCAAAACGACGCGTGTCTTCCGCTGCTGCAGGTGGTAACCAACCAGAACCAGCGGTTGATGTTGGAGAAATCTCGGAATCAACCGATGGATCGGCAAATTTCTGGTGAATTCTAAAAAATGTGATATTTTGTAAGCAAAGATCATAAGATGTGGGTTATATGATTAAACTGAGGTAATTATGATCTAACTTTCATGGCAACCTGGCAACCTCACCAGAGATTTTCTGTGGTTACCCGGGTTACCCGTCCAGAAACTTCTTTGCGATTCAAGTGCCTCAGCCATCTTGCCATCCAGTGGGATTCTCCGCTTGATTTGACCATGGCTATTTCCACCATAAATATACCCCCTTCATCAAGAGTTTGGTGGTTAAATCATGGTCATATCATGATATAATGGTGGAAAATAATATACCACCCATATTATACCTTGAGTTTGGCGGTCATACCATGATATAATGTGGTGGTCATATCATGATGGTCATTGATGGAAACCAATAATTTTGATGGAAACCATGCCACTGTGGTCATTGATGGTGTACCCTCTTAACCAACCATCAACCATCCAATGATAGGTTCACACCCATGAACATCCCATCCTCTAAACGTCCCATGTTTCTTAATCACTACGGGTGTTGTTAGTGGTGGTGTTTGTTAGACAGGAATCAGCCCAAACATGAGTTTTTTCAGCATTTAGATCAAGATCCGCATGTTTCTTCTGTATATACAATGTGATGCCCCCCTAGTTATAAATTGGTTTATAAGCCCCATTAACTATAGATATATCACCTATAAACCATAGTTATTGGAGTTATCGAAGGAAGTTTAGAAGTCAAACTTCCGACAATATGGACAGATGAAAAGCAGAGTAGGGGAGAGGCAGAGAGAAGAGGAAGATTAGAAGAGAGAAGATGAGAAGAGAAAGAGTCAGAAGAAAGAAGATACAGATGCGCGAAAAGGTAGGAAAGTCGCGAAACACTGTGTTTTTCCAATGATTTGTGGCTCAGGAGGGTCGGAAAGTAGGCTCGCTAAAGCGGCGGGTGCGGAGCCAGCTGGTCACAGGAGCGATGAAAAATTGCACGCCGTTCTGGCGCGAAGCACATTTCCAAGTCAAAAGGTACAAAACACCTCAGCGTCGGACGACTTTTGGAAGTTGCGATGTCGAAAAAGTGCACGCCGTTGTGGCGCGAAGCACATTTCCAAGTCAAAATGTACAAAACACCTCAGCGTCGGACGACTTTTGGAAGTTGCGATGTCGAAAAAGTGCACGCCGTTGTGGCGCGAAGCACATTTCCAAGTCGAAATGTACAAAACACCTCAGCTCCGGACCACTTTTGGAAGTTGAGATGTCGAAAAAGTGCACGCCGTTGTGGCGCGAAGCACATTTCCAAGTCAAAAGTGTTAAAAACTGGCGGTCTCGGACCACTTTTGGAAGTTGAGATGTCGAAAAAGTGTCGAAAAAGTGCACGCCGTTGTGGCGCGAAGCACATTTCGAAGTCAAAAGTGTAAAAAAACTGAGGGTTTTGAGCCTTTTTTGACGTGAAGATGTCGAAAAAGTAGACATTGATTAACTTAACTAACTTGACTAACTTAACTAACTTCACTAACTTAACTACCCTAACTTCGACGACAACAGCAACAGCAACAGCAACAACAACAACACCAACAACACCAACCACAACAACAACAACACCAACCACAACAACTACAACAACTACAACTACAATAACTACACGACAACTACAACTAGAACTACAACTAAAAAAACTACAACAACAACAACAACAACAGCAACAACAACAACAACAGCAACAACAACAACTACAACTACAACTACACGACAACTACAACTAGAACTACAACTACAACAACTATAGCAACAACAACAACAACTACTACTACTACTACTACTACTGCAACAACAACAACAACAACAACAACAACAACAACAACAACAACAACTACAACAACCACAACAACAACAACTACTACTACTACTACTACTCCTACTACTACACTACACAACAACTACAACCACACAACAACTACAGCTACAACTACAACAACAACTACAACAACTACAACTACAACTACAAAACAACTACATCTACAACTATATGACTGCAACTACACTACACTAATTACACTACACCACAACTACAACTCCACTACGCTACAACTACAAGTACAGTTGCAGTACATCACACTACATCCAGCAGTTGTGGGTGAGGTGACCACTGCAACCATTGCAACCATTCCAGCAAACACAACTCCAACCACCTTTCGGTCATTCAGTGGATTCGCTCTGCCATCCGTGATTCACAACAACCAACGTCTCCTATAGGTTTCCTATTCTGAAGCTTCCGCCACCGCCTTGTGCGGTACTACTGGTAAAACAACTTAGCTATCTTGGGGGCCTCACATTGTATATATATATATATCCACATTACACGTCCCTTCACCAAGCATCAACCAGGTGGTGGTTACTCAATCCAAGTATACTTCTTTCCTCACAGCAATGATATCAAATGTCCATTCACCAACCATTTGGTGGTAATTTTACATCGTCCCGAATTTGGTATAAATAATAAACCCCTTTTTTGGGCTTGGTTTATGTTGGTTTAGGGCTTAGGGTTTACCACATTCGTTGATCTATGGGTTTAGGGATTAGTATGCCCCTTTGTTTGGGATGATTCACCCACATGGTTAGATTCACCAATATGTTGTGATTCCCAATAATCTAGTTATGTCAATCTATATGTTAATCTAACATAATCTAACCATCAACGAAGTGGACTACGGAAGAGTCAGTATGGCTCATCCACAGCAGTCGGAAGTGAGCCATTTCTTGCCATGCGGAGCGATGGAGCACCGCTTCGAAGTCGTGCCCGGCTACGCAGCACACGTGGTAACGCGTCACGGTCCCATGTTGATTCAAGTCATGGATGATCATTTTTGTATTCAAACCCATGGTGACTTGGGGCACCTTCATTTTAGGAAACCTCCATATCGTTAAAACTAGGGACCGTAGATGTTTTATTGAAATTTTCCCAGATGTTTTCGTTAAATTGTAGATTCAGAAAAAAAATGCCGAATCTAATCCCATACGGGTCTGTCTCTGACAATTGGATACCCGAAAAAATCATGGTTCATCCTCCATTTTCACACAGGTCCAACTATCGAATCAATTTGATTGGTCATATCCCACAAAATATCCCCACCAATCTCTTATATGTGTGACATTATGTGTGGATTGATTTGTACAGCGATTTTCCCCGTAAAACGGTTTTTGTTCTTGGATACACTATGTCAAAATCATCTCATATTTCCAACCATCATCATATCTGGGTAAATTATAGAAATTCACTAACCTGAATCTTGCGGCCATTTGGGGATGATTTCCCTTACTAACCATGATTCCAGGGTTCGGTCACGACGTGAGGTCGTGATCAAATTTCGAAAAAATCGTTGGTGGATGGTGATTTCCCAGGTCACTAATGGTTACCTGGTTGGTTTTGCCCAATCCCCATGGATTTCCACCAATTATTCCATCATGTGTGATACAAAATATAATCATCCCACATAGGTTATATAACATAAACATCCATACGAACCCAAAAATTAATGATATTCCCCAAACATGCCAATCATTCATAATCCACACTGCGCAGCCGAAACCAACCGCTCCCGAGCAACCCTTTGCCCAGTGGCTTTAGCGACTCACACGCCTAGCGATTTCGATAACGCGAACTCCAAGTGTCTCTCGAAATGGGTTGTTTATCCAAGACAAATATGGATTTGAATCTTATATATATATTTATTTGTTTATTTATTTATGATGGCTAAGTTGTCTAATTTGCAAAATTTGAGAAGTTTTATGGTAGATACATGTGTATATATATATGTATATAATTGTATATTGTATGATGTATATAAACAAATAAATATAGACTTTATTGACATAGTTTTCATGGCAAGTTGGTCCTCTTCCACCCCTCTTCAGTGGTTGTTTCCCTTTGTCGTTTTCCCACGACCGAGGCACAGTCAGACAACGGGAAACTTGGAGGAACAGAGCTGAGTGAAACCAATTTTTTACCATCTATCTACCCTGGAATATATATATAATGTATATAGGGTAGAAAGATGGTGAAAATTTATCTATCTACAATCTACCCTTTGAATGTACTGTCTGAAAATATAAGAGGCACAAAGATATACAAAGAGGCTGCTTATTTATTGAAAAACAAAAATTTAACCTACTCTACCTATTGCTTCCCGAGATTTGTACCGTCCTGTGACTCCCGATAAAGGGGCAGCGTTTGCCGTTGGCCAGTGTTTTAGAATAATCCACCCAGTCAAAGCCTAGTAACCTAGCATTAACCATATTCAACCAGTGTAAAATCCCATGACTAACCACTATTGATCCATTAAACCCCTATCAATTCACGACTATTAAAAATCAACGTGATCAATCATAACCTTCTATATCAACCATTATCAGTATCAACATGATGAATGATAACCTCAACCATATATATATTTTTTATCAACGATTATCATGGCAAAATCATGAATATCCCAGCCTTTACATCTATAATAGCTATTATCATCACCATGAATTCATGAACCAATAGCCGCATAGCCTTCCAAGTTTTTAGGTTATGATTATTTATGATTATTGCTCGAAGGAAGTTTAGAAGTCAAACTTCCGACAATATGGACAGATGGAAATCTAAAGGTGGGAAGAGTCAGAAAAGACAAGAGAAGAAGAGAGAAGATCAGAGAAGAGAAAGAGCCAGAAGAAAGAAGATGCAGGCGCGCGAAGGTAGAAAAAACGCGATTCACTGTGTTTTTTCCAATGATTTGTGGCTCCGGAGGGTCGACAAGTAGGCTTGCTAAAGCAGCGGGTGCGGAGCCATCTGGCCAGATGAGAGATGAAACATTGCACGCCGTTGTGGCGCGAAGCACATTTCGAAGTCAAAATGTACAAAACACACCAGGTTCGGACCACTTTTGGAAGTTGAGATGTCGAAAAAGTGCACGCCATTGTGGAACGAAGCACATTTCGAAGTCAAAATGTTAAAAACACTAGAGTTCGGACAACTTTTGGAAGTTGAGATGTCGAAAAAGTGCACGCCGTTGTGGCGCGAAGCACATTTCGAAGTGAAAATGCACAAAACACACCATGTTCGGACCACTTTTGGAAGTTGAGGTGTCAAAAAAGTGCAGGCCGTTGTGGCACGAAGCACATTTCGAAGTCAAAATGTTAAAAACACTAGAGTTCGGACAACTTTTGGAAGTTGAGATGTCGAAAAAGTGCACGCCGTTGTGGCGCGAAGCACATTTCGAAGTGAAAATGCACAAAACACACCATGTTCGGACCACTTTTGGAAGTTGAGGTGTCAAAAAAGTGCAGGCCGTTGTGGCACGAAGCACATTTCGAAGTCAAAATGTACAAAACACACCATGTTCAGACCACTTTTGGAAGTTGAGATGTCGAAAAAGCGCACGCCGTTGTGGCGCGAAGCACAATTCGATGCCAAAATGTAAAAACACTGCATGTTCGCGCCACTTTTTGACGTTCAGATGTCGTTTCGCGTGGCAGGAGCAAGGGATTGTGCACCTCGTCAAAAGTGAGCAAAACGTGAGGATTTTGTGGTATTTCCAAAAACGTTGGCAGGCGTGGGACATTTGAAGAGGATCTGAAAAGATGCTTTTCGCGTGGCAGGCGCAATACAAGAGACACATGTAGATATGTTAGGAGGTCAGGGCGCTGATTTCCTGAGAACGGTTGCATTTTGGAGCATCGTATCTTCAGCTTTGCTAAGATGATTTTGCGTGACAGGCGCAGCACTTCCTATGACCTGGCTTCACTTTTACGTGGCAGGCGCAGTACTTTAGACAGATGGAATGGAAAAATCGCAAAACGCATTGGCACGAGGCCATCAGCTGCGCACTCAACTGTCCATTTTCGAAGGAGGACGTCTCGCAGAATTGCTTCGTTTTTGATGTTGTCAACTTGGAAAATTGAGGAGGTCTCGCAGAATAGCTTCGTTTTTGACGTTGTCAAGTTCAAAAATTTGAGGAAGTCTCGCAGAATTGCTGCGTTTTTGATGCTGTCAACTTCAAAACTTGAGGAAGTCTCGTAGAATTGCTGCGTTTTTGATGCTGTCACCTTCGAAAATCAGGGAAGCCTTGCAGAATTGCTTCATTTCCAAGCTTGCAGATAGACAGATAGATAGACAGATAGATAGATAGATAGAGATAGAGATAGATAGAGATAGATGGAAATAGATAGAGATAGATAGAGATAGATAGAGATAGATAGAGATAGATAGAGATAGATAGAGATAGATAGAGATAGATAGAGATAGATAGAGATAGATAGAGATAGATAGAGATAGATAGAGATAGATAGAGATAGAGATAGATAGAGATAGATAGAGATAGATAGAGATAGATAGAGATAGATAGAGATAGATAGAGATAGATAGAGATAGATAGAGATAGATAGAGATAGATAGATAGATAGAGATAGATAGAGATAGATAGAGATAGATAGAGATAGATAGATAGATAGAGATAGATAGAGATAGATAGAGATAGATAGAGATAGATAGAGATAGATAGAGATAGATAGAGATAGATAGGGATAGATAGATAGATAGATAGATAGATAGATAGATAGATAGATAGGTAGATAGATAGATAGATAGGTAGATAGACAACTACAACTACCACTACCACTACACTACACTAGACTACTACTACTACTACTACTACCACTACTACTACTACTACTACTACTCCTACTACTGCAAATACAAATATACGCTAGACTACGCTACACTAATCACACTAAACTACACTAAGTACATTTAATTACGCTACACTACCCGGATTACACTACAACTACAACAACAGCAGCAACAACAACAACAACAACTACTACTACTACTCCTGCTGCTGCTACCACTACTACTACCACAGCTACAACTGCAATTACAACTACACTGCATTGCACTACCCTACACTAATTGCACTGCAGTACACAACACTACGCTACACTAATTACTTTACATTACGCTACAGCCACAACTACAACTGCAACTGCCACTACATGACAGTACAGTACACTACACCAATTACATTACACTACACTACAACTACAACTACGCTGCTTTACACTACACAAGGCTACACTACACTATACCAAACTACAGTACACGACACTACAGTACACTACAGTACACTACACCAATTACGCCACACCACAACTACAACTGCAACTGCAACTACACTAGGACTACTTACACTACATTACAACTACAACTCGGCTACACTACACTACAACTACAACTGCGCTACACCACACTACATCCATCAGTTGTTGTGAGGTGACCACTGCAACCATTGCAACCACTCAGAAAAAACACAACTTCAACCACCTTTCGGTCCATCAGTGGATTCGCTCTGCCATCCGCGATTCACAACAACCAGCCTCTCCCATAGGTTTCCTATTTTTGAAACTTCCACCACCGCCTTGTGCGGTGCTACTGGTAACCATAAGTTAAGGTTAGGATTATTCTGGGTAAATTATAATATTTCACTAACCTGAATCTTGCGGCCATTTTGGGATGATTCCCTTACTAACTATGATTATAGTGAGGGAGAACAGTGAGGTCGTTATAATTTACCCAGATTATTGTTTCATGATGATTATCCCATGATTATCCATGATTTTTATCCCACTATCCCATTCATATCCCAGAATTACTATCCTATAGAAAATCACCATTTTTAAGAACGGTAAACCATCTATTTCTATGGGCCATTTTCCAGTTCGCTCTTGTTTCATGATGATGGAAAATCACCATTTTCAATGGGAAAATCCACTATAAATGGTCATTTTCAATAGCTATTTTGACATAACCAGAGGGTAACCAAAAGCCACAACGATTTATTCGAAGGCTTTCGAACCTCGGCAGCTCTCGCTCTGATAGCTCTGGATCCAGCGAAAGGCTTGGATCATCTCTTGTACCTCCAGCGATCGTTGGTGGTTTCAACCAACCCCAACCCGAAAAATCACCAGGAAAAATGAGGTTTAACCATGGTTTAATGGGATCATATAATGGGATTATAATGGGTGGTGGGTATACCAACCCCAACCCGAAAAATCATGGGATCATATATATATATATATAATGGGATTTTGTTATGGGATAATCAGAAAAATAATGGGATTATATAATGGTTTGTCTGAAAATATGGTACATTCCCAAACAAATAGCCATTTAATAGGAATGATCAGCAAAACCATTGGGCTTAGGGGTACACTATTTTCAGACACACCCATCTGCTTGGTGGTTTCAACCTACCCCTCTGAAAAATAATGGGATCATATAATTGGATTTTAATTTATAATGGGATAATCATCAATAATGGGATATTGTAATAATAGTGGTTATAATACCAATAAGACTGGTTGGTGGTATACCTACCCCTCTGAAAAATCATGGAGTTCGTCAGTTGAAATCATTATTCCCAATATATGGAAAAATATATGGAAATATATAGTCACTGGGAAGGATGACATCCCATATATGAAATGGAAAAAAAAGCAGGATGTCATTCCATGGTTCCAAACCACCAGGCTGTTATGGCAGATCGTCACGTTGATAATGTCAATGTTTACCGGTTGAATCCGGTTGATATGGTTGAACCTGGAAAATGGATACTGTAGGATGAAAAATAGTTTGATCATGTCAAGCTTAATGTTAATATAATAATATATATATATATATGATAATATGGTTGATAGTTATGTTAGATGGCAAATGTCAAACAAAATGTCGTGTCAAGCTTAATGTGAAAAGATATGATGATAATGGCTGATAGTTATGATACTTAGAATCATAACCTTATAATGTTACTGTTGCATTATCATGAAAACTATATAAAACTGTAATATGACTGGAGAAGAATGGCATAGTTCACAAGTTCTAGTCTTCAGTAATATGATATTACAACAGTAATTCATGATAATACAACAGCTGTATCCTCTGGTAAGCTAAGATGAATAATGGCTGAATATTCGAATAATCATGGGTTAATAGTGGTTAATGATGGAACTGTATGGGATTTACCCTCTGGTGTCCCAAAACATCGCTAGCTGGTTCTCCCTGGGAAAATCATCGAACCAAATGAAGGATGTTCCAGCCACGGTAATTACAATAAGAGGCTAACAAGGTAACTTATCAGTTGATAATTCTAGATTGATAATTGTTATCTAGTTACTTATTTCGTAACTTATCTTTGATAATGGGCAAAAATGGTGAGTTGGGCTGAACTATAAACTAGCTATGACTTGGGGTTTGTTTTTGTTTAAGTTGGACATTTCTATGGTTTATGTGAGATATCACTCATTGGTAAGTTTAAGTTAGCTAAGTGTTTTTTAGTTTTACTAACATTAAGTAGTTTGTTATATCCTACAAAAACCATAGTTATCCAACTTATGCACGTCAACTTCGCTATCCTTTGGTGGGCCTTAACTCGGATAAGCTTACCTCGGATAAGTTGGATAAGTTCAAGGTACTTACCCCAGCTCTTGGGTACTAACCCCACGGATATCCTATCTTGAGATCAACTCATCAGATAATACTAATTATAATTGCAGATATCCGTAGATAGTACTAACTATCAGATAGTTGATATCTTGAGATTGCAGTAACAATAATCAGATACCAACTAACCTTGGACCTTGGATAACAGTGCTATTGCGATCAACTAAAAAAATAGTTTCTGTGAAAACAGTTAAACGCTGATCACAATGAAGGAATACTATATATGTTTGTGTCATATAAATAAATTTGAATTGGAATAGTGCTAGTAATACTGTGAAAAGTTCAACTTTTATACCTTGAAGCTTTTCCAGTGGCTTCATTGTACAAGTTCATGGCAGCAGGTTCCTTCTCATTTCCGTGGACAACCACACTTGGTAGCTGATCATTTCCTACCATTGCTATCGCGCTGTTGCTATTACTAGGCTGCGATCGTATTTTCACGGGCTTGGATTTACGGGAATCTGATGCAATTCTGCTTGGTGGTGCAATAACCATCTTGAAAAATATGAGTTCGTCAATGGGAAGGATTATCCCATATATTATGGGAAAAACATCTTTGAAACCAACCAGTTGTGGCCTTTGCTACTTCTTTCAACCAGCTAACAAACAAACTAACTAACTAGGCTGCATTAGTGCACAAAGATAAACCACGTCTGTGGGCTAGACTGGGACGTCTTACACTTTACACTCTACACTCCACACTCTACACTTTACACATTCTACGCTCCCCACTCCACTCTTTACACTCCACACTCCTTACTTTACACTCCACACTCCACACTCTACACTTTCCACTCCACACTCCACACTCTACACTTTCCACTCCACACTGCAGACTGGTAACAGGGGAAATATGTACTGTCTTCAAGGGATGTTTTCCATGCGTGTCTTTGTGCGTCAGTTGTCTCTTTGTGAACTGTTGATCAGGTGCCTTCGCTGAGACGATATGCGCGCACGATGCATGAAAAAAAAGGCTCGTTTTCCTATTGCAGAGGTTTTCACTCGTAGTCCAAGCATGTAAATACATTCGGGTTCGTGGTTTCCATCTTGTTTTGATTCTTGAGAATTCATCCATGTTCGCGTGTTTAGACTGGCCTATACTAACATGGGGAAATAAACATCATTTTGAGAATCGGATACTAGGTCAAATCAAGCCAGTTATATGATGTTATATATCCCATAGAACATCCTCATCCTTCCTGGTTACCAGCAATACTTCTTAATGACTGACTAAGCCACAAAATTTCCCAGCAACAACTCTCCCAATATCCTCATTGTCACTTGGTCAAAACCCCAATATGATCACGATTTTTCTGCCACAAAAAAATGTTGGTCAATAATTAAACCATATAGCAATTTTCGTTAAAATATGTTAAAATGGTTCGTTAACGATATTGTCCGTAAACAATTGTATCCAATCAATGTTCAATAACAGTAACAATTGGCGATTTGTTAGTAAACCTATGTAATAATTGGCTTAATACGTTTAATATACCCATTCTCATTGGCCACCAATGGACCACCATCAGATATCAAGTTAGTCACTGTCCATATCCATTAAATATCCCCGTCATTATTTGGTCAAAAGCCTTGATATCCCCATAAGTACCCTAGTATTATTTTTACGTAATAAACCATCTAGCAATAAGTACTGAACTGGTTTGCGAACCATGGATTTTCCCACAGAAAAACTATTTCCAAGATCACTGGTTAAGTTCCATCAAATATTACCACTAACAATGTTAGCCCATTGTAAGAATTAGTCACTTACCATAGAGATATATTTTGTGTAGTATATAACAATCGTTAACATCTTTCAAAAATATTTCGATACTACATATATTCGGTAACATATGTACGTTTCCTAAAATGGGGGTACCCCCAGTTCTCATCCCTTTTCAATAGGTTTTCCATGAAATAAAACATCGAGCTATTGAGGTACCCCCATTTTAGGAATTTACCGTATATACATCCCCATTACAAGTCCCTTAACCAACCATCAACAGGGTGGTGCTTACCCCACCCCATCAAGGCTAACCACATCAATCTCCTCACAGCAATGTCTGTCCAATGTGGTGCTTACCCAATCATAAACCATTTGGTGGTCATTTTACATCATCCCGAATTTGGTATAATTAGATAATAGACCCTCAAATAAGCTTGGATTAGTTTTTTTCTGATTATTAGTTAAAAATCATAATATCTATAGATAGATTCTCTTAACAATCAATAACTATAGATAAATTATCTTATATTTATAGATTAACATATAGATTGCGTTGCGACAATCTATTGTTGATATATCTTAATCTATATGTTAGTAGATGGCCAGCCCCGTGGCCCCGTTTTTTGCCGCCGAAGGACCGCTTGGTACGCCTTATTGCATAGCTCCTCAGCATCCTCTTGGACCTGGACGCGAAGGCGACGTTCGAAGGCGACTTTGGAGCCTCCTTTTGGGGCAGAAAAAAGAAACCGTTAAGACAATCTAGGATGAATTATATGTAATATATGTAATTTATATGTAATATATATGTAATATATATATAATATATATATATATGTAATATATATATATATGTAATATATATATATATATGTAATATATATGTAATATATATAATATATATATATGTAATATATATATATGTAATATATATGTAATATATATGTAATATATATGTAATATATATATATGTAATATATATATATATATGTAATATGTGTAATATATGTAATTTCTTATTGTATCACTCACTTTTTGGTATTCCTCACCACTAATGCTTGAGGGTTAGATTGTCCTCTGGTAAACGTTACAAAAAACGATCGAAAATCACAATTTTTCATGGGTAAATCCACCATAGGTTAATAGTAAATGGCCATTTTCAATAAGGCTGTGAAAGCTAAAAAATTACCGTTGGTAAATCAACTATTTCAGTGGGCCATTTTCCAGTTCGCAAACTGTAAACGTTTACCAGGCTGGGTAAATGGCTTGATCAACCAGGATGTAAATCGGCCTGGCGGGATGAGAAAAACGGCTTGAACATTCACTGAGTACTGGTCATTTGGGGCCCCCAAATGGTCATTTAATGGGATTTAATGTGACTCAATGGTGATTCAATGGTGATTTAACGGGATTTTTTCATGGGATTTAGTATGCTCTACTTTGCGAAGTTGGTTTTTAGCACCAGTTTAACTGTTGGGTTTATGGTAGATATCTACAGTATGGCATTACTATGGTGTTAATAAACCAACTGACATTAGTTGGTGTCGGGGGCACCCATGATATGCCTTTTTTTGTTGCGGGATTTCCCAGCCATCTTTGATTACCGCTGGGTATCAAAAAAACAAGATGTTCATAGATGTTCCATCCATATCCAATACATGTTCCACCAAATGTCCAAATGATATTCATGATATTTCATGGTGTTCAGTGATCCATTTCATGAGTTTCATGTTCCATTTCACCAATCTGGGTAAATTATAATAATTCACAAACCGGATTTTTCAGGCATTTTTTGGGTTAGTTACCCTTACCATTATTTCAGGCTTCGGGAGAACATTTTTCGCTTCAGAAACGAGCTGCAGTGAGGCACAGCATCTCCAGAATCCTCAGTGAACATGGTGCCCCGTGGCATGTCTTGTGGGATGAAAACAAATGGGTTACCCTCCAATAAATTAACATAGACCCTGGTGGATAGGGGTTGGAAGATTAGTTTCCTCTAAGAATGGTGATTTTCAGGGTCTATGTTAATTTACCAGAGGGTATATGGATTATAATCTTCTAGGTAAATAGATGGTAACCTATTATAGATTATAAAATGATTATAATAGATTATACCTAGATAACAAATGGGATCTATCTCCCTATCTATATTTATTATAAAGATCTATAAACCATAGATATGTTTATGGTACTATTAATTAACATGTGGTACTGCTAAAAAACAATAAAATGATCCATGATCATTATCTATCAGTGATATGTTTCTTGAAGTTCCATTGATATACAGGTTGGTGGTTGAGCCACCCCTCTGAAAAATATGAGTTCGTCAGTTGGGATGATGACATTCCCAAGATGATGGGAAAGTCATAAAAGTCATGCTTGAAACCACCAACCAGTGATTCTTAATCATTATTAACCATGATTAACCATCATTACCCCATACTAAATGTTTGAAACCACCAACCAGATATTATTAACCAGTATTAACCATTATTAACCATCATTAACCATGACTAACCATCATTATGGGTGATATTATCCATATATATATATATAAAGATGATTATCCCATCAAAAAATCCCATATAATACCCATATATTAATGGGATATAACTATGATTAACCATTATATATATGGATATTGAATGGATTGTATACCACGAAATCCGATTCGTGGGATGTCTGATCCCAAGATGAAAGTCCCGTTTTCACGGAGCGCAAAACTGAATAGATCCAACACAGAACCATCATTTGTTTGCAGTATATGTACATTATATATGTGATATTGTGATATTGTGATATATTTGGGAGTAGATGGGCGCAATTGTATGGGACGCTGGTTTACCTCTCCAAACGGAAACCTCCGTTTGGACTCTATTCAATAATTCCTACCCGAAATGTTTTGAAATTTTCAGTATTGCATTGACTAGAAAAGAACCCTTCGCTGTAAATTCATACACAGGTTTCAGACTCAAACACACACAAATTATTTTCACATAAACATTTGTGTTTGTTTACCCGCGAAGACCTACCGAACCATAACAAGCAGCATTGAGCAGATCATCGGGTTTTGATGAAGTTTCATGCAGCATATGGGATCCCCGATGCTAACGGTGATGCCCAGATCCTTAAGATTTTCAAGAATCATGGTTACAAGTTCCAGTGTGTATATACATGTGTATGTACATGTGTAATATATATATATATATATTAGTATATTGTATTCTATACACACATTAATATGTACATGTGTACACATGTACAGCACATAAACATAAATATAAACATAAACTAACGTGTGCACGTCTGACGTATCGTATCTTTACATAGAACATATATATATATATACATATACAACTATATATATATATACAAATATATATATATATGTCTAATCATATAATATATATATATATATTACATGATACTACATGTACATCCTTGGTATATCTTGATCGCCGGGGCCAAGGGGCTGTGAAGCAATCGCCTCGGACACATGACATTGCGGTAACTCTCCTGCCGTGGAGATTTCACCAAAATGCTGGAGGATTTCATGGGATTTATAGCTGATTTTGATGGGGTTTATAGCTGATTTAATGGGATTTATAGCTGATTTCATGGCATTTATAGCTGATTTAATGGGATTTATAGCTGATTTAATGGGATTTATAGCTGATTTCATTGGATTTATAGTTGATTTAATGGGATTTATAGCTGATTTTATGGGATTTATAGCTGATTTCATGGGATTTATAGCTGATTTAATGGGATTTATAGCTGATTTAATGGGAATTGTAGCTGATTTAATGGGATCCATAGCTGATTTTGATGGGGTTTATAGCTGGTTTAATGGGATCTATAGTTGATTTAATGGGATCTATAGCTGAATTAATGGGATTTATAGCTGATTTCATGGCATTTATAGCTGATTTCATGGCATTTATAGCTGATTTAATGGGGTTTATAGCTGATTGAATGGGATCTATAGCTGATTTAATGGGATTTATAGTTGATTTCATGGCATTTATAGCTGATTTCATGGCATGTATAGCTGATTTCATGGGATTTATAGCTGATTTAATGGGATTTATAGTTGATTTAATGGGAATTATAGCTGATTTAATGGGATCTATAGCTGATTTTGATGGGGTTTATAGCTGGTTTAATGGGATCTATAGTTGATTTAATGGGATTCATAGCTGATTTATGATAGCTAAGTTAGTTTCTAACTACCTGATGTATGATAGCTAAGTTAGTTTCTAACTACCTGTTTTATGATAGCTAATTTGTTTCTAACTACAATTAGTCGGGTTTATGAGGACTAGCTCGCTAGAGGAGGTTATAAGATGTTATAAGCCAACTTAAAACATCTTAAAGCCCACTCAATTGAAGCTACCCTCTGGTAATTTAACATAGCTATTGAAAATGACCATTTATAGTGGATTTTCCCATGAAAAATGGTGATTTTCCATAGTTATGTTAGTTTACCAGAGGGTATCTTAAGTGGAGACAAAGAAATTGCCCAGATGACGGACTGACACATCTCGAGGCTTGGTGCTTTCAACATTGACCCCATCGAAGAGAAACCACCAAGGGTCATTGAGTCATTGGTCATATTTTTTTCACCAGCCAAATCTGCTTGCTAGTTCTTTGAATTGCTCTTTTATTTGGCAGTGTGTCAAAACCTTGTACCCCTGTAGTTCACATCAAAATAGCTGGGATTTATGGATGTTCATTCCCCTAAAAATGGTATTAATAGGTATTGATCCATACCCATTTAAAAAAAATGACGACTTCGTGGGTCTTCGCCTCGAAGATCAGCTCAAAATGTCGCTGGAAAATTTATGCTTTCCACGGCAGGTCGCCGGAGCCACCGAAAAAATATCCATGATTTCGGCCACTGGACAGCCATGATGAAAATCACTAGTTATTCAATGATCAAACAAAAAACATGTAAAACTTTAAACTTCCATGATTCATCCACGAATAATGAAGCACCATGATTTTTCTCCCTGAAAAATTCCCATTGAAACGTGCGCATCGGATTCATCAGTAAATTTGATCGAAGGCTTCACCCAGTGGTCCACGGGTAAATGCCTGATTTTTGGCTGTTTGGTCTATGCTTTCTCAGTTGGATATATCATAAATAACCCCATGAAAAGATCTTTGCCAGGCCGATAACCATCTAAATTGTAGCCTATGTTAAAAACCATGATGGTATTTTACTTAAGGCATTTTCAGCATGAGCCATACAAAAAAAAAAACGTGACTCATACCATCCAATGAAATATTGGTTAGTAAATAAGATTTAAGAACGGTAACCCGTTAATGTAATCCCCAATAATCCGGGTAAGTTTTTATTCTTTCATTTTTTCATAGCCAATCACAACAGCTATGTTTGAACCATGGCTCACCTGAGTCTTGAACCGATCTAAATCGCCCATGATTGGACAGATCATCTATTTTACACGCCATGTTTTAAACATGTTCTGAATCCGGAATCCCTTCCCCCTTTTTTAATATTGAACACTTGCAACAATAGCTACTAGGAGTGATATTTAGAAACATCGAATGGGGTTGGTTTTGATTTTCAGGTCCCGCCTTCCCGAAATGGTCGCGTTTATTCAATGTCGACAGATCAAGGTTTTCGGCAGTGAGGCTGGGAATTCACCACATCCCATGATATGATCCCAAGGTTTTCGCCATCAAAAACTAGCATTAATCATTACCCTCTGGTAATTTAACATAACTATAGAAAATCCACCATTTCTAGTGGATTTTCCCATGAAAAATAGTGATTTTCCATAGTTATGTAAACGTTTACCAGAGGGTAATAAGGCTTATAATCCCGTCAAAAATCCCACGTGGTATCCTATGAAAAATGATCAGTTTATCCCTATGAATCAGCAGAAAAGCCCACCCTATTTGCCTACCAGGATCGCTGACCCAAACCGGCTCCCAGGATGGCCCAGGTGGGCCACCGGTCCTCCGCCCAGCTGACTTTCAGCATACAGGGTGGCCCAGTCCTCAGAGTTTCCGACCAAAATGATCCATGGATTTTTATGCTCAAAGACATGTTTTTTAAAAAAAAAAACATGTTTCAACCATCCAAAATGATTGTGGATTATGGTTTGATATGGTTTAATATGATAAAATGGTCATTACATTATCAATAAATGTGTCCTGGCATGATTAAAACAAAAACATGTTTTAAAAAAAAAAAACATGTTTTAACATGCAAAAAAAAACATCCAAAATGATCCATGGATTCCGCATGAATCCTAAGCAAATGAGGATTGGATAGGATTTGCAATAGACGGAGATTTCACCATAAATAATGGTTTAACTTGTAAACATATGCAAAAATCAGGATGTTCCATCGAGATGCAGAAGATTACGTTTAATAAGAATGGCCAAGAGATCATGCACAACCAAGATCAAATCATTCAATGGGTTGGTTTAATCATTGTATATATATATATATATATTCAATGGAAAATCTTCACAAATACGACATGGTGCGGACTCCCCAAATTTTGTGAAGGATTTCCATGGATTCGTAGCACAACATCGAAGTTTCCTTGGCGAAAACTGCTGCCTCTGAGGCCCCGTACGTCCTCCTCCAAGTGCTTGGGTTTCAGTTTCAGCAGTGGCCTGAGTTGGTGAGGCTTGAAAATGCTGGAAAAAACGCCGTTCATTTTAGGGTACCCGGCCTGGTAAATTAACAGTTTGCGAACTGGAAAATGGCCCAGTCGAAATAGTGGTTTTTCCCATTAAATATGGTGATGTTCCATAGTTATGTAAACGTTTACCAGAGGGTATGTTTATGTCATGGATGATGTAATTTCTGGTGTAATTTATCCAATTCACTCACCGGATGTTTTGTCGTGATTTGATGACCCTCTGGTTATGACTAACAGTTCGCGAACTGGAAAGATCCACCATCTTTAAGATCCGTAAAAATCATTCATTAATGCTCCATTTTCCAGTTCAAAAAAACTGTAAACGTGTCATAAATGGCCGGCTGCCAGATCCACCATCCCCCAGTCACCATGACTGGAAATCGCCAGGCCATCGCAAAAATCGCCAGGGCGCAAATACCCGGCGTCCACGAAGCTTAAGACAAACAGACTCAGGGCCACATCCCCATGGCCTCAGAACCGCTGGAGATGAATGAAAATGCTAACCATTGAATGATGTGTTTATATATATAATATGATTTATATATGAATAATATATTAAAATAACCAAGGTATATATATATATATGTATATATATATAAGTATATATATAGTATATGAATGGCTGAAATACGAGTGATGAGTCATACTCTTAGTACATTAAGTATTTCCAAATAAACGCCATTTTTTGTGATATATGAATGATGATATCATTGGATAATGATATTAGTAGTGTAACAGAGTTGCTGGGAGGTGTCCACCATACTAACATGGGGTAGTGGACTCTAGTAGCATGAGTGAAATATTCATGGGCGTACAATTGGATAATGCATAATCTTGGTTCATTTATGAAGATTCATGATAGCTTCCTGTCTGGTCTTGAATTTGGAACGTTTTTAGAACTACAATAAATGCAAGAATTTGAAAAATCATAGTTTAGACCATTGTATTTAGGTTCACCCATGTAACATTCATAATATAGACCAAGGGTGAATATGAATATGTTTATATATATATAATTATATGAATATATACATTGACATAGTTAGATCGGGTGAACATAATGCGAGAAACACCCAGACTGGTGATTTGTTCTGAGGCTTTTATGGGTTTATCATGGTTTCTCACCATCATCTCTACATCAACATATTCTCCTGCATCTATAGGGATTCTTGGGTTTTCACTCATGAATCACCTACAAACTTACAGGGATTTATGATGATTTATGGGAATGAAAGTGAGGAGCTTGTAGGATCCAACTAGGATATCTGGATGCGGCTTATCATAGTGAATCTTGGATACCTGCCAAAATCTGATTTTGAGCTGATTAGTACATTATATCATTGATGGCGATTAAAGTACTAAAGTATCTAGCCAAGGATGACCCAGATATGATCAACTTGATATGGTATGAAAATTGGGGTCATGTGGTAAACCCTGCAAACCTACCATGACCGAGGGTGGTCCTTACACCCCATCAACATGGTGTTCTGATCAACTTGGATGAGTACAAGTGATGGGACACTGGTACCTCTAGTACCTGTCCCCCCAAAAAAATGTCACGTCCCCTCTGGTTATTTGACAGTTTGCAAACTGGAAGCCAACTAACCCATAGGCCCATAGATCATAAACAGATATAATATACATTTATCATCGTATGGGGGTTTCCTAAAATAGGGGGTACCCCGAAATCATCCATTTTAGATTTTCGGATTTTCCATTACAAAGCATCCAGCTATTGGGTACCCCCATTGATGGAAACCCCAATATAATTTGTTTAATTCACCCATTCGAAGTAAAAGTGATCTTCCCAGGAAAATGGACTCGGACGGTTTTTTCTTCACCGCAAATCAAATCTACACCTGCTGATTTTCCATCGTGGGATTCCCTGTTGGGATTTAGGGGAAGATAGCGAGGGTTCTGTTCATAACAAACTCATGTTGGTAAAAAAAAAGCATAAACGCACCATCCCCCAGTCACCATGTTCAAAAAGGTGGGAAATCCCATTCCCAATGACCTTTCTCCAGAAAGGTGTGCATTCTGCCACTGCTGAAAATTGCCGCAACAGTCGACCGTGATAAATCCGCTGAGGAAGCGACTTAGTTCTTTTGTGGCTGGTCTGCTCATAAGGATTGCCTGGGCGCGAAGTTTTATCGACCTCCGGAGATCGGAGAATTGCCAACAAATCGCGGGCTATCTATCCGTTGTTTGTTTCTGCCAGCCATAGTCACTTTAAATTAAAAAAAAAGGAAAAAAGAGATTTTAAACCGTTGTATCAGTTGTATCCATTGCATTTGGCGGGGCTTAATCATCAAACAAAACCATATCTTGAACTTCATCGGATCTTTTCCGCGACAAAAGTCATATAAAAACGGTCGCAACTGAGTTGGGAGGAGAAATAGTCACTTTTAAAGTAGGGCCCCCAAGCCTTGCAAGTTGGTTTACTTCACCTAATTATAAAGTTGTATCAACTAGTTAGATATATCATAATGATATACATATATATGTGCATATATATATATGTATATATATATATATATCCCCCTAACTAAATGTCGAACTAATTAATTATATATATAGTAATTAATTGTTGATTGATAAGTTGATATATCCCCCTCATCAAGCCAACAGTCATTGTAGTGAACTAAAGTGAGTTTTAGTCAACCACCGACTGATTGGACAAAGAAATCCCCATGGAGAATTTCTCGATTTTCTTGGTGAATCCCATGGATAGAATCCCATGGATATTACCATTCATTCATATCATGATAATATCATGGTAATATCATGGTAATATCATGGTAATATCATGGTAATATCATGGTAATATCATGGTAATATCATGGTAATATCATGGTAATATCATGGTAATATCATGGTAATATCATGGTAATATCATGGTAATATCATGGTAATATCATGGTAATATCATGGTAATACCATGGTAATACCATGGTAATACCATGGTAATACCATGGTAATATGGTAATATCATGGTAATATCATGGTAATATCATGGTAATATCATGGTAATATCATGGTAATATCATGGTAATATCATGGTAATATCATGGTAATATCATGGTAATATCATGGTAATATCATGGTAATATCATGGTAATATCATGGTAATATCATGGTAATACCATGGTAATACCATGGTAATACCATGGTAATACCATGGTAATACCATGGTAATATCATGGTAATATCATGGTAATATCATGGTAATATCATGGTAATATCATGGTAATATCATGGTAATATCATGGTAATATCATGGTAATATCATGGTAATATCATGGTAATATCATGGTAATATCATGGTAATGGAGATTTTACCAATGGATATTACCATGATACCATGGAGATTACCAAAAAAAACAGTGTTGGTTTCACTGTTTCTGCTTTCTAACCCAACAAAATCGCCAAGCCGTTGAAAAGCCAACGGAAAAACCACCAGAACCACCAGATCCACCACAGAAATCCATGGCACACGGGCCGAGATGAAGACACGCACTTGCATCTTCTGCAACTGCTCGGATGTTCGAAATCCTGGCGGTTCGAACACCGGTGTCACAAATTGAAGGGTTACCAAAAAAAAAAACAGACCAGGGATTTATAGGGAGTTATAGGGGTGTAAATGGGGATATAAATGGGGATATACAAGTAGATAGTGGATATGATACTGGGATCAATGATATATATATATATTAACTATTCTGAAACGGATGTCATACTGGAAAGATATTAAAATATCCTACATGTTTTAAGATCATATATGGTAACCATTTTGGATTTTTTCACATAAAACCCATCTACCCGGTATAAAAAAAGGACCACTTCAGGGACTTTCACAATCCCCCGTGGAGGATCATCCCTGGCCATTTTTTCAGATGCTATAGCTGTTGGGTCATTCCACTTAGTGCTTATTACCCTCTGGTAAACCTACAAAAAACGATGGAAAATCACCATGCTATTAATGGGAAAATCCACTACAAATGGTCATTTTCAATAGCTATGTGAAATTACCAGAGGGTAACCATAGTTTTATTAACCATACCCATAGGATCCATGGTGCTGGTATATATGCTAACATAACTGGGGTATATATAAAATATTGATGGTAAATGTTACCAATAATAAACCATACATAAAAATCCTATGGGATAGTTCACCCATGAACAATAGATGGATTGATTCGCAGATTCTATTGAAAATGTGAAAATGTTTCACGTTAGAATCACCATAGTCCGATTCTATCTACCCATGAAAATTTCATCACCCATCACCCATTGGGATAAGCCATTGATAGACGGACGAATCCGATCAGGGTTTTTTCTCACCGACGAGGACCATTCACATGTGGTCAAATAGCTGTAGTGATCTACATTTTTTAAAAAAAAAAAAGCAGAAAGCACGAAGGGCAAGAAAGATCTAAATGTTACAATTATATATATATACACGTACTTTTCATATAGATTTATGTATGCATCATTTTGTACAATTATATGTGTATACAGTATATATATATATATTATGAAATGTCTGACCATCTATCTATCGCATTTTAAATCCATACGCCGGGCGGTTAGTTTGTTTCAGGTGTTTCCCATCAAAATCCCATCCAAATTGGCTGATTTATAGCTGGCTGGTTGGTGGTTGAGCCAGCCACCCCGCTGAAAAATATGACTTCGTCAGTTGGTAAACTAACATAACTATAGAAAATCACCATTTTTAATGGGAAAATCCACTATAAATGGTCATTTTCAATAGCTATGTTAAATTATTATTCTTCCCAACTGAATGAAAAGTCATAATCCATTCCATGGTTCCATTCCATGGCTCCAAACAAACCACCAAACCACCAACCAGTATGGATAGTATGGGACGTTCACGAATCCAATGGAGTGTGACTAAACCACGAAGAGCTAACGTTCATGGGGAATGTTTAATATGAACGGGTGGCAGGGGTGGCAGGGACTATTGTCGTTTTATCTATAACTATTCTCATTGGTTCATGATGGTTCATGATCCATTACTATAGTTCCTGTATAGTTCATCCATTCTAGTTGATCCATTTGTATCTAGTAAAAATCATCTTTTTATATTCCCATGCTATATTACCCAAAAATCACCATCCCTTCTTTTGTTCAATCCCCCAACGTGAAACCTCTCCCCGGGTGGCCCCTTAAAAACTCCACCGACAAAAATCGACTCGCTAGCGGTTTCTCGCCTGCAAGCATCCCGATTCGCGCAAAGTAAATGTAGCACCATTGTTCGACGCAAGGATAGTCCACCTGCCGACCGTCCAAACCGTCGGAGCCGGGGGTGACTGGTGGTGATTCATGGCCGGGAAATCCACCAAGTTGGTCAACGTTTACAGTTTGCGACATAGAAAATGGCCATAGAAATCGTGGATTTAGCCACTCAAAATGGGTTATGTAAACGTTTACCAGAGGGTAGCCATGATCCAGTTTCCCCACTATTCCTATAGTTGTTCATAGGGATTACTAGTTATATAGTTATATATAGTTATATTCATGAAGAAATCACCATGGTTCTTGGTATAACCGTACAACCCACCCACGTCCAACGGACACGAAAATCGTGTTACATGCCTCAAGGGGACGACTCCAACGTTAAAAAGTTCACCATCCTTCACCACGATATATATATATATATATAATCCATTAGGTATGTAATGAGATATAGCAATAATAGTGGTTAATATACTCTTAATCATGGTTATATACTGTCAACCATATTATGCTTATTATATAGGACTTTTTTTAATGGGATAATCATCTTTATAATGGGATTATGGAATAATAGTGGTTATAATACCAATAATACTGGTTGGTGCTTTTTTGCCAGCCCTCTGAAAAAAACTTGGTCAGTTGGGATGATGACATTCCCAATATATGAAAAAATATGTTCCAAAGCACCAATCAGTTATAGCTTGCTTAATGAATATAATGGTTGATCCTGGTTATCGTGACTACTGGTTAGTATGGTTAGTTAATGATATATTCAAAGAAACACCATTCATGACCCACTGATGGACTATCACAAAGATCATGAAGCTTTCTGAAAAAACCCTGCGGCACGGTGTCCGAAAAATGTCGTGCCTGCCAATCCAAAGCCTTCAGAACCACCTGTTCATGTTGACACAAGCTGCGGTCGTTGATCTCCTGCCGAAAGGCATCCCTCAAAGATCGAAAGAAATTCGATCCCGGTTCCCTTTTTTTGGCAAAATTGGGAATATTGTGTTTTGTTTGCTGAAATTTCACTGACAAAGAAGGATTTTTGTTGGAGTTCTGGATTTAATGATGAAATGGAGGAGTTGAACAACTGCGAGTTGTGAACTAAAAAAAAAACATGACATTTTCAGGTGTCACAGGTGGGTTAGCCAAGAAAAATAAGGGCTGAGGACAGCCAACCAATGGTTTGCCGATAGCCAGACGCAAGAATGTCCTTCTGGGGAACCCAACCGGCCGGTCAGGCCGATAATCATATATGGAAAATCACCATGCTATTAATAGGTAAACCATCTATTTCTATTGGCCATCTATACCATGGCTATGTTAAATAATCAAATATTATCATTTTTTTGCTGAAGTCCCGATTTCTCTGATGACGATTTATTGCTGATGAGAATTTATTGCTCAACTTTTCTAGGATAAATTCAAGAAGTGTTGACAGAAAAGATTCTATCTTTCCTAATGTCCCCGTTTCCGGACAATCATGTTTAACATGAATCATCACAAATCATAAATCCCAATTTGTTTGATCAATTAGCCAAGCAGTTTTAAACTCATCCCATTTCCCATATCGCTGCTCCCAACACCCTTCGTATATGAAGGGGGAAAGACTTAGCTGAATAAAGAGGTGAGATCACCCACTTTACGTTGGAGCAATATGACCATTGCTGACGTAATGTGGTAAACCCAAATTCCAAATTTCACCCAAGAGGATCAATATGTTGGGGCTCCAAGAAACCAAACGCCGAATACGTATATATATATATATATGCATATTGTATATATGTATATTGTATATATGTATATATGTATATATGTGTATATGTGTATATATGTATATGTATTATATGTATTATATGTATTATATGTATATATGATATATGTATATATCTATATCTATATGTACATATACATATACATATATAGTATGTATACGATTATATACAGGTACTGACATGATACCTATATCATTGGCTCGACCCCGATCGGGTCCGTTGTCTCGATGTTTGCCGTGGCCGAAAGCCAGCTTGAGAAGTCCTGGTTTTTTTTTGGTGCCCCTTTTGGAGCCCCAAAAAAGCCAGGCGTTTTTCGCTGGATGTTGGGAATATCATGGGAATATCATGGGAATATCATGGGAATGTCATGGGAATATCATGGGATTCTTTATGGGATGTAATTTGCTTTAGTGTGGTTTTTTTCGGTCGCTAAGTTGCTGGTGCCTTTTTCAAAATCTCCAATGTCACTGTCTGGTTTGTGGTAGATATATTGACCTAGTTACTGTTTATAAACCAACACAGAGCCACGAACCATGCCCTCTCCATATTGCCAAATTCGACCACGTGGCGTCTATTTAATTGTTATTGTGGGGTTACCAAATTACCCTCTGGTAATTTAAGAATTTGCAATGGTATCTGACCCATTTCGTTCGATGACTTCCTTATTAAAACTTGTGATTTTCCGTAGTTATGTTCTATCACCAAAGGGTGCTTTACCAACTGTTGTGGCAGTGTAAGGCATACTGAACCATACCCTCTGGTAAACTGAACATACAGTAGCCATAGAAAATGGCCCATTGAAATTGTTGATTTACCTAGAAGTGAAGTCCATAGCTATGTTGTTTCACCAGAGGGGATTATGTTTGATTCATTACAAATGTATGCTGAGTTAGAAATAACCCTGGAGCTTATCATCAAAATAGCCATCCAATATCTAATTGTCTAGTATCTAAGTATCATTTTAATTGAACATATCCTTCAGCATTATTACCCGTTTACCAATGTTGATTGGATATTAGGAATTACCACTTATGTTCCACTATTGAAGAAATAATAACTGGCAAATCCCACATATCAAGTACACATATCATTTCATCTGAAAAAAAGCATCATTCTACCCATGATATTCCATGATATTCCCATCATTGAATCATATAATTAACCATAATACCGCCAGTTATATCCCATCATATAGCCAGCATATTGAAAGAAACACATAAACCAGTCATGGTAATGGGTAACGTAGCCGAATTATTTATATCTCAAACACCAGGTTATTCGAACATGATATATATATATATATATACATATATATATATATATGCATATATATATATATGTATCACACCCAATATAAATCGTAATATGTTGGAGTAGACTAGGTCCTAACTAGGTATATCTCATCATTTATCTCCCATTTGATGGGGATTTTTCATTGTAAAACTACCCCATCAAGCCTTCCATTCATAAATATCTAAAAATGAACCATAGATCATATCTATATCATCTAATAGATCATATATCTAACCAGAGTAATTATCATAGATAAATAATAAATAATTACACCATAAATAATAAATAAGCATCTAATAGATATATATATATATATTACATTTACTATATTGGGGTTTCCATAAATGGGGATACTGCACCCCAATAGCTGGATGGTTTATATCATGGAAAATCCCAATCTAAAATGGATGATAACTAGCTGTACGTAAATGACATACATACACATAGAGAATACATAGAGATATAGAGAACGGTATCATCTATTTGATTTTCGGATTTTCCATGAAATAAGTCATTCATTTTTCTGGGTAAATTGGAATAATTCACTAACCTGAATCTTGCGGCCATAAAAGGGGATGATTTCCCTTATTAACCATGATTCCAGTGAGGGAGAACAGTGAGGTCGTTATAATTAACCCAGATTTTTGGTATCCCCATCACAAAACGGAAACCATCTCAAACCCCAAAAACCACCCTGGTCGTTTCCGCATCGAGTCCTGGATCAAACGTCGACCAGGGCATCTCCTTAGGCCGTCCCAAATCTGGCGTCAAAAAAAGGGGGGAACCTGTTGAAGCCCCAAAAAGATAGGATGTGGTGAAAATGATGTGAATTTGGTGAACATTGCCACAATTTCCCATCTTTTTTTAGTGAGAAATCAAGTGCCAATCTTTTTTTGGACATAAAATGCTGAAGCAGTTTGAACATGTTTGAACTATGTAAAGCCATCAAAATGGGGTTTAACAACGTTAAACATCCCAAAAGTCTCGTGTGATTTTCGCCATTTAGGTTGGCATTGCGGATCAAGATAGGCCTTCTTTGAAGGCCGAAACCGCTCACGATCTCTGCATTTGGCTTGCCAATGATACTACATTCCCATGGTATAGATACAAATATATATATATATATATAACAATATATATATATATATATTATATTATATATATATTATATTATATATATATTATATTATATTATATATATATATTATGAAATGAAATATGTTTTGTATAAGATTATATTTCCATTGCATGTAGAAAGTTCCCATTTTTCATATGGGGTCGTACCATAGGTCCCAAAGTTGATTAATACCTTGACCCTAAAAGGATCTAAAAGGCACCGAGCAGCTCGGTGCCTTTTCGGGTGCACCCATCTTGATTTGCTTTACGGTTTAGGTCACCTTCAAAAAAGGCAACGGGGTCTCCTGGTTGGTGGGTTTTTCGCCACCCCTCTGAAAAATCATGGAGTGAGTAACAGTTGGGATAATGACATTCCCAATATGATGGGAAAGTCATAATCCATTCCATGGTTCCAGTCACCACCAACCAATGATTATTAACCATTAACCATCATTAACCATCATGAAACCCCATACTAAAGTCATAAAAGTCATGTTCCAGTCACCACCAACCAGATAGGAAAATATATGGGAACCCCCCAACCATCAACGGCCCTTTCTTAATGGAGATTTCTAGCAGGGAAAATCATCGAAGTCAATGAGTTTCCGCCGTTTCCGGTGAAGATCTTCCCCTACCTACCGTAACGTCATCAGCCCGATGGTTTGCTGGAAAATGCTGGAAAATGTATGTGAAAATTTGTCACCAAAAAAACTCGATGATAAATAGCATCAACTCATTTGAACAAATCCCCATAGGGAACACGATTTTAAGTTCCGTTAGGTTCCCATGAATGTGGGAATAAGCAAATTTCATTAAAACCATCCCCAATTCATCGCCATGAATTGAAGGGTACAATTCATCGCAATCCCATGACATCCAGGGTAGGTTTAAGGAAGGGTAAACACCATGACATCCCAATCTCTGCCCAAGTGGCTCGCTCAGCAAGGGTACGCAGCTATGCAAGGTGAAGTCCGACTTCACAACAATCCTGTCAGCGATTTTTCACCCATGTTGTGCTAAATTTCAGTATGGGCGCCTTTTCAGATTGAACTTTCACCAAAAAAGCAGGACTTGTGAAATTTGGCACCATGTTGCTGCGTTTTTCGAACTCTGATTTCACCAAGTTGGCTTTGTGATAGATATATGGCTATGACACTACGAGTCAAAAAGCCTGTACCCCTGGTGAACACCAAAATAGCTGGCAAATGGACGTTCATCCAACCAAAATTGATAATAATAGGTTTTGACTCATCTCCACATATATATATATATATAGCCTATAGCTACTCTGGTTACAAACCAGCTGAAAAAAAATGAGGGGTACCACCTTGTATATGATATAAGGGGATACAAGCAATGGCCACGATTTTTGAGTATTGTGTTGGATGTGTTGTTTTGATTTTGAAGGAATAGCTGCCTGCGTAAATCGAGAAATTGGGATCATCATGTTAGGGCCACGTGTTCCTGATGGGATATTGTGGTCCTGGTATATCCACGTGTCATGTGCGTTGCGAGCGTCAGTTTAATGTTAGAACGAAATGGCAAAGTTACTGTTAAACAGCAGAGTCATTGATGGGTATATCACCAAATTCTGAGAGGCCATGATGACAACTGTGTAATTGTAAGGGCTAGTAGTCTTTAAGATCAAACGAGTGGATTTTCTGCAGCTATTCCCTTACACCAAGTCGTGAAGTGCTAATTCATGGGAGCAATTCGCAGATCACATTTGATGGCTGACCATCATGTTCCCCATTAGAATAGCAATAAAATGGTGCTATAGCTGGTTTTATATATTACCCTGTCTATTTTAGATATACTATCTATTATCTATATCTATTATCCATTATCTATATCTATTAGACACTATTAAGCACACTATAGATATATGAAACATACTATATATAGATATATGAACCAGTATTACTATTATAGTAACCACTATATAATAATCATAGATTATAGTAACCACAATATAACTACTATTAAATTTAACCACTATAGAAATATTATTTATTATAGATATATTACCGGATTATTAATAGATATGTCATAGATATTGTAGATGTATTACCATATTACCACTATAGATAACTATAATTTAATACTAAAAATTACACTAGTATAGGTTATAGATATATTGACCACTATAGTACTACAGTATTATAGCTATACATAGATAGATATTAGATAGCTATTAGACACTCTTAAACACACTAATTATAGATATATTAATTATGTTCATAATCAACATGGATAAAAGTAATAGTGGTTAATAAGTGTGAATCACTAATTATAGACACTAATAAACACACTATTAACCACTATTACTATTAATATATCAACACATTATTTATAGATATCATTACTATTACTATTGTCCTCTATTATCCTCTATTATCTATTAACAATATCAAGAATAGAAAAAATATACTAACCACTATGACTATTATCCTCTATTATCCTCTATTATCTGATATAGATATGTAGATATACTTTTAACCACTATTTTATTGACCATTACAAAGGTTGGTAACTGTCCCATTTTGGGAATATTGAACATCACCTTATAGTAGCCATTGTAGACCATATACCTAATGGTTGGGTGATGTTCAATGGGGACATTTAATGACCCATGCATTATTACTATGTGCAGCGATTCTTTGCCCCTGCCGTCTCCTGGCGATCGCTGCACAGGTCAATGGCAGCTCTGCAAGGCCGGCGCAGTCAGCGCAGAAATCAAACAGCAGCGAGGCCTACGGAAGGAGCCGCAAGCCACATTAAGGGACGGAAAAACCATGGAAACCCCATGGAAAAATGGTGGAAAATGGTGGAAAATATGGGGAAATACCGAAAAACGTTCTGGAAAAAACATGGAGAATAGGAAAAAATCAAAGAAAATAAGGGAACGACATGAGTTTTTCCATGATGAAAACTTGGAGTTTTCTTTCCTGAAATCATAAGAAAAATGTTGCAAATCTATGAGAAAATGGAAGTGCTGCCACGAAAATATGTGATTTCCTCCATGGTGGAGATGATTGGTGATCTACTGGGGATATCACTGTGGCTATTTAAAGGGATATACATATATATATATATATATCACCAGCTACAATTGCGTATGGGTCCAATCCCTGTACCCTTCGGTTTCACATCGAAATAGCTGGTATTGAATAGGAGGTTCCCCCCCAAGATCGTTGTAATAGGTCTTGACCCAGACCCTTTTGATTGAAATGAAACCATATGAAACCTATCTTTTGAAACTTTGAATGAATATGTTTTTGGGGGGATGAATATGTTTTATATGTGGAAGAGAAGATATGTAATATTTAAGATGTTTGGTAAATTAGAAGGAATGGTCCATCCCAAGTCCTGAAATCAATCGCTACTGATGGATTTAAATCTCTAATGCCATGTTCAATCTGATGGATTTAAATCAGACTTCAAATACTAAGCTATATATTCTTTATATATCCAACTAAGCTATATATTTCATATCAAAGTTTGAAGCCAGCAAAATCATTGGTTTTAGCAACACCCTTTTCCCGATCTCATTCATGGTGAGATCCCTTGAGGCTGCTGCATCATAATCATCACCATCGTCATCGTCATCCTCATCGTCGTCATCATCATCATCATCATCGTCATCGTCATCATCATCATAATAATAATAAATTTAAAAATATTTATAATGATTATATAGTAATAATTAATATTAAATAAAATAATAATCATCTTAATAATAATAATCATCATCTTCACCCATAAAGAGCATAAAGCAGGCTTGCTCCCAGCACCAGAATCACATGACCAATTTCCACCCCAATTTGGTGAACGAAGTAGCCTGGAGGGTTTCTGAACCGCTTTCCCCAAGGCGTGTCCATCTCATTTTCTTACTGTCCTCTAGTAAAAAAGAATCCCCAAATAGATGCCAAAACATGGTGAATCTTTGATATTTCCCCAAAAAAAATCTAACTTTTAGCTGGTTAGTATTTGTTTATCATTGATAGCAAACGATTCAAGCACTAAAGTATCTAACCAAGGTTGATCCAGAATTAATGAAACAAATCGAACTATTCCATCCTGGTCTTTGAGAATCTTTCGAATTTTCGGCATCGCCAAGCCAAGCCAACACGGTGCGCGCGGTATCTGAGGCTCCGAACCTTAAACCAATAACTTTGAGATCCAGTGGTGCCCTCGCATCGGAATTTCTTGGAGAATTTCATATGAGAATTTCATGGGAATTTCATGGGAATATGATGGGAATATGATGGGGGATGTTCCTTGGTTTCATTGCAAAAGATATGGGCTTTCATGAGATCCATCTACAGATTTTGATCCAGTTTCAACTGGGGAAACTGGGTCATATAAAATCCAAAGAATCTTATCCATGAAACTGGTGATTGAGTCATATGAAAAAATCATAGAATCTATATGAATCTCTGGGATTTAAGCATTTTCAAGATGGGACTAAACCAACCAGTCCCTGGCACTCCCTGCATTTTTGAAGTGGAACAACATGGAATGTCACGGGATCATCCACCATTTTTTTTCTTCGCAAAGCTCTATAAAATATAGATATGTTGCTATCGCTCATTGTTTCATCCGCAGCTCTGCTAGGTTTCCATATATATATATATATGTATAAAGTCTTATATTATCTTTATATATCTTTCGTTTTTTCATCTAATTCTTGGTATCCAATACTTGACCGGCCTGCAGCATACTGGAGAGGCAGCCTCGGAATCCGGAATCTAATGACTGAATTATGATGGGGATTCACAGGGCTTCATGGGGGTTTATGGGATTTCATGATATATATATATATATATTATATTTTATATATTATATATACATATTATATATATATTATATGATATATATATATACATATTATATCTGGCTGGTGCATTTAACCATCTTGAAAAATGATGGAGTTCGTCAATGGGAAGGATGACATCCCTTTTATATGAAATGGAAAATAGAATTCGTGTTCCAAACCACCAACCAGATGATTATTAACCATTATTAACCATCATTAACCATCATTATCCCATACTAAACCAATGTTCCAAACCATATATATATATGATTATATATATGGGATATATCTGAGACCTGAATGATGTCATGATTCATTGACCTCATTCCATAGCGGAAACCATTCCAGTGACGTCACCATCATTCGGTCAGAAAAATCCACAAAGGCCTTCATCCATTGTTGATACCCGGCCTGGTAAACCTACAAAAAACCATGGAAAATCACCATGTTTCATGGAAAAATCAACTATTTCGACTGGGCCATGTTCAATAGCAAACTGTTAGTTTACCAGAGGGTATCATTGTAGAAGATTATATGATACATTATCATTGTAGATGATTACCCTCTGGTAATTTGTTACAGGTCGCTATTGAAAATGACCCATAGAAATCGTTGATTGTTCCATTAAGAATGGCCATTTTCAATAGCTATGTTAAATTACCAGAGGGTAAATTATCATTGTAGTAAACATGGTGATTTTCCATGATTTTCCATAGTTATGTAAACGTTTACCAGAGGGTATATAATGATGATTGTGTATGATTATCATTGTATCCACCTCACATTGGAATACAAATAAATCATCAAACAATCATTGTGGATAATTATATAATGACTGTGGAGATATCTATGTTTGTTGGTTTCAAACACCAGTTGCGTGGCCGAAAAGTTAAGCAACCCGTTGATTGCATTACAGTTGCATGTGTGTTGGCTAAATCCCTATCTTTCCTAGTTCAATCCCAGGTTTCTGTTGAAAAAATGATGCGTTTGCTGCCACCACTGTTGATGTTTGAATGTACTGCCCACTGCATCCTCATCACACACCCATTTATCCCGTTGTAGCACCATTGCTGATGATGAAATCCATATGTTTCTATTTTCAATTATAATCTATACGATATATATATATACACATATCTATCTATCTATAAATATATATATATATATACACATACATATTTATTATTATTAGTATTATTATTATATATATATACCTACATACCCAGTTATATCCCTGCTATTTCCGATATGCAAAAAAAATATGATCGACCCAGTTCTCCCCTGTTTTCAGGTCACCCAGTGGAAATTGGGGACACCGATGTCAAACCAAGGTGCTTTTTGCTAGCTTGAAGATTGGATTTATCGTGAATATACCCTCTGGTAAACTAACATAGCTATGGAAAATCACCATGTTATTAATGGGAAAACTCACTATTTCTATGGCCATTTTCAATAGCTATGTTAGTTTACCAGAGGGTATTCATAAATGAAGGTCTCTTAGAAGTCATAGGGGGATCCCCAAGTCATCATCGGTTTCTTCATATGTTTTAATACTATTGATGTCCATGTCTTAGATTTCCATCTAAGGTGGCTTGGCCAATTAGCCTCTGGTAAACGTTACAAAAAACCATGGAAAGATCCAGCATATTCATCCATTTTCTGTGTAGTCATCCACTATTTCTTTATGGCCGTGCTCTATGTCGCGAACTGTAACAGTCATTACATCACCATGGAAAGATCCACCATGCTCAATAGCTGGGTAACTATAACAAATTACCAGAGGCTACCCTCTGGTAAACTAACATAGCTATTGAAAATGGCCCATGTATAGTTGATTTACCATTAATAGCATGGTGATTTTCAATAGCTATGTTAAATTACCAGAGGCTACATCCCATTGATGCACCGAATTTCGCCACTGAAATCACCCCCCAGTTCTTGCTGCGCCACGCAGTGCTCCGACCCTAATCTTCTGGTCGAAGGCACGGGCCCCTGGGACTGATGTTGAAATAAACGGATGTTTATAATATTATAAGATACGAGTAAGAATGGGACATGGATGGTTTTTTTTTTAATTTCTTGGACATCATTCCATACTATGGATGTCAATATGATTACTATATAGATGTTTTTTTGTACTATAGATGGTGTTGTTTTTGAGTTTCATAAGATAAGAATGGATGTTTCATCATGGCTTTTTCGGGACAATCAAAATGGAGAACTTCACCAGGACTTCATCGACATGTTCAGCAGAATCCGGAACCGTCCCACATTACCATCTGGTTATGACTAACATAGCCATGGTATAGATGGCCCATAGAAATAGTTGGTTTGCCTATTAAAAATGGTGATTTTCCATCATGGCGATTTTACCTTTAAAAAAAAGTCATCCAGGGTGGAGATTTTCGGTTCTGCTGGGGATGTTCTTTCTGAATCGTCCCAAGAAAATGGCCGGTGTTCTGTCAACTACATGGCAGGGCCACGAGCTAAAATGTTGGACGCGGCGGTTCGGGCCACGAGCCGGCTAAAAAAAAAGGCCCGAAATTCGACAGTATCCCATCCTCGGTTCATATAACATCTGGAGATATCATGGGGATATCATGGGAATATATTGGATTATATATAGGACATTATAACATAGGCTATCATTCTATATATTATAGGATTTATAGGGTATCATTCTACAACCAACTGCTAAACAATCTGTCGAACTCTGCCAAAGCAGCGGGCCTTTCTCAGTGCCGCGACGGTCTGCCTGGTCATTGCTATTTCATATTCTGGTTGGTGGTTGAATGGGGTTTATAATGGGCCTTATAATGGGATTATAATGGGATAATCATCAATAATGGGATTATATACTAATAGTGGTTATATGATGGTTATATGATGGGATTATATTATATATATACACTGGTTGGTGGTTTTTCGCCAGCCCTCTGAAAAATATGAGTCACTTGGGATCTTATTCCATTCCCAATATGATGGGAAAGTCATGTCATCCATTCCATGGTTCCAGTCACCACCAGCCAGTAATTATTAACCATCATTAACCATCATTAACCACTATTATTGATTATTATTCGTATATAATCCCATTATAAAGATGATTATCCCATCAACAAATCCCATCATTTTGATAATCCCTACCGACCCGTTTACAAAAAACGTACCCCAAGCCTCGCAAACAAAACATACCGTTTTTCGTAAAATCGGGGAAAGGGAGTCATCAAAAAAAAATCCTGGTTGACCTATCTGGATATATAGAATAGATTATAACATATATAATCAAAAAATGTGGTTGACTTATCTGGATAGATTACCTTATCTGGATATATTAGATTATAACATAATCAAAAAAAATGTGGTTGACTTATCTGGAAAGATGAAAAAACCATTCAGTATGTGTTGTTATCTTTTGAAGTAAGGCATGTTTCTGGCACCACTTTTAGACATGTACTGCAGTGACCTCAAGATATGATCAAAGCGATATCTTCGATACATCGAAGCCGAGAAAAACTGTGACCAACAAATACCCGGCCTGGTAAACATACAAAAAACTATTGAAGCCATGGCCCAGTCGAAATAGTGGATTTACCATGATTTACCCATTAATAGCATGGTGATTTTCCATAGTTTTTGGTAGGTTTACCAGGCCGGGTAGTTCCCCTAATTTGTTGTTTCATGATGCGGGAAGGTCAACAGTACCTGGAAAAACCAACCAATTTCTCCTAACCACCAGCGTCTCAGTGAAATCCCCATTTTTACCATAATCATTGTGATCCACCCAACAAAAATCAGTGGATAAACCTCAGTATAGACCCATGATTCATCTTGTTTGTCGGATTTGTATTGATTTATCCGTATGCACTATGTATCCCAATTAATCAACACATACCAACAACTAAACCATCTACGAAACCCATCAGCAAAACCACCCATTTCCGTTGGCCAAGTGCACATTATTTGTTTTCGGGCAAGTCCCCATGACTTGGTAGATGAAAAGCCACCACATTTTACGGCCTTGTGGCCCAACGGTTGGCTGTTTACAACACTTCATCAAAATCATGGGGGTTTCCATAGTCATGGATCCCCAAAATGCTTGGTTTATGTTGCCACCTCAATGGTCCTAAAGATGTATAAAGTATATGAGGGGTTCCATAGTCATGGGGGTACCCTAATAGCTGGTGAGTTTATTTCATGGCAAATCCCATCTATAAATGGATGATTTCTGGGTAGTACCCCCATGACGACACACGGAAAGCTGAACTGGGCCAGGTCTTTTCTGGGAACACCAATTCCGCTGCTCAAAAATCCCCCCTAAAACAATTCATAACTACAAGGAATTCCAAGATAAAAGATTAAAAAAACAGCATCTCTAGACTAAACTCACCTAAAAATTCCATGTGTTTATACGCATTCCTATAGAAATCCATTGAAATCCCCGTTGTTTCCTTTACGGCTTTCCATCTATCTCCCCGGCTCCACAACGGTGACGCGACGGCGACCTCCTTGAGATTCGCCAGCATCTCGCTGGAGGCGCCCACACGATGCCATGCATCTTCCATCGTCTCGGAAATTGTCCTGGAGGGATCGATGATACCATATCAATGGTAAGTATAATGTTATACCAATGGATATATGGTAAGTATAATGTTATAGTTGGTATATATTATAATGTTATAGTTATCAACTATACCATATCAATCATATTATACCATGATATACTTATTATAGTATGGTATGATATGATTGATATGGTTGATATGGTTGATTGTACCATCATTATACTGATTACATATGGTGATGGTTAACTGATGTTAACTGGTTGGTGGTATACCTACCCAATATATGAAATATATATATATATACTGTTAATATATGGTTAATATATGGTTAATATATGGTGATGCTCAATAATGGGATTTTGTTATGGGATAATCAGAAAAATAATGGGATTATATAATAATAGTGGTTATAATACCAATAATACTGGTTGATCTGGTTGATAGACATGGTTTAACCAATACAATAACCAATTGATACCAGTTATAACTACTTATACTGGTTACTGACTTATTGTAGTATGGTATAATATGATTGATATGATTGATATGGTTGATATGGTTGATTTTACCATCATTATACTGATGATATATTAAGCAATGGTTGATATACTAATCTGGTTGGTGGTTTTTCGCCACCCCTCTGAAAAATATGAGTTCGTCAGTTGGGATGATTATTCCCAATATATGGAAAAATAAAATGTTCTAAACCACCAAAAAGATATGGTTTATAATTTACGGTTCAATCATTGGTTAATCAACCATGGTTACTAATAATGATATGGTTCAACCAATCGATATGGTTAATTATGGATATGTATGGATATGTGATAATTGATATTAACCATCATAGATTTGATAGATGATGGTGGATGGTTAATCCTAGTTCCTATGGTTGATGGTTCATTATAATGATTGTCATAAATGATGGTTGATGGTTAATAGTAAGATAATAATGATAATCTATGATCATATCTATGATAATAATATCATATAATATCTAGGGTTATGATAATCTATGATTGATTCTATGGTGGTTGATGGTTAATAATAATTATATAATCTATGGTTATATAATCAACCATCAACCATAACATAATTAATCATAATCATCATGATTGATAATCATAATAATGATGATTGATAATCATAATAATGATGATACTAAATAATCATGATTGATAATAATCATAATGATAATAATAATAATGATGGTACAAAACAAAACATGATTGATAATAATCATGATGATAATCCATGGTTATTGGATGGCTAATCCTATGGTTACTAGGTTGATAATAATTAATCCTAGTCGGAGAGTAGGAGAGCTGTTTCACCATCAGATGGATGGATATCGTACTACTATGATTAATCAATGTGCATGAATTATCAATTTCACCATTAGATGGTAAACAAATGCTGAGACCATACACTAGATATATAACCGGTGGATATACCATGTATGTCAATGTTCATTATCATTAAATCATTCAATGGTAAACAAATTGTTAGCTAATCTTGACTTTTTCATTCGATGCGAACCAATGTTAGCCATCATGATATTTGGTTACACAGAACTGTCATGTTAACCATGATTTACCATCATTTACCATCAATTATAATTAGCATGATGGACAGTGTCAGATGGTATCAATAGTTGGCCACGTGACAGTTATCAGCCATCCATTCTCATCCATCATGTCCATTATCATTAACCATGTCATGTTACCATATTTTACGATCAGATGGATGGCTAATCATGGAAGAATATAATATACGATATGTAATGGTCAATACTCTATGATTGATAATAGTGATGATAAGCCATGGTTGATGGAAAACATATATAATGGTATAATGGGATAGAATCTATGACAATGGCTAATTGTCGAAATAGACTATTAGCCAGCCAGTGTCATATGTTTTTATAGCAGCAGTCATCAATAACAACCTATGACAATAGCTAATAATATGACGGAATATCAATGGGAGTCTACCAACTAACGTTTGCAAATATAATATATCATGGGACATTGAATGACATCTAAAATATATAATGGTATACATCAATGTTAACCATTAATGATTACTAGGATTGTAATGGTATGTAATGTGTACATAATTTAGAATGGGAATATTAATGGGAACATAAATAATGGTTAATATATAATGATCTATGGAAAATATGATGGTATTGGCTGATGCTGGTTGCAGCAAAAAGTCTTAACAATGATGGTATTGACAATGGTATACAATAGTTAGTAATTATCTATGACATATCCATGGTAAGCGTGCGTTAACGATCTAATACTGGTTAATTGTTAAGAATCGTCAATAATGATTACTCATCATTAATAATGGTTAATAATATGGTGGTTATATTGATGGCATATATAATATATAATGGGAAAATCTATACTGGTGAAGAATCGTTAATAATGATTACGATTGTGTTCTAGTGGTTAATCATGGCAAAAGTATGGTCAATGATCAATACATAGCAATAAACCACAATACCGGAAATATGCTGGAAATATGCTGCTGGAGTATCTATGGAATTTTACCAGCAATAAAAAAATGGAGAATCAATGGTGATTTACGGGAAATTAATAGTTATTTAATCGTGACTTAATGGACATATAGTGAAGCACATCCATCAATGGATGTATAATGCGAAGATAGCGGAAAGTCCACTGGAAATAAGAGTACCCTCTGGTAATTTGTTACAGTTCGCTATTGAAAATGGCCCAGTCGAAATAGTTGATTTACCCATGAAAGATGGTAATTTTCCATCGTTTTTTGTAACGTTTACCAAAGGGTAAATATCATGGAGGTTTCTAATAGGATTTTTGTCATCCATAAATGGTCTGGTCGATTTCCAGCAAGCCATGTTTGATTGCTGGAAAGGTCAATTAGTAGAACTATATTCATATCTATGGGGTATAGAAGCTGGTATATAACTAACTATATGACCACCAAAAAGGTCTATGTGTATATACATACGGCTGTTGTTTTTTTATACACATACAAACAAAACAACAAAACCGCCAACAGTAATATGGTACAGTACTGTATCACTAACAGTCGCTATGATCAGCTGGAACCGGCAAAAATCTTCGAGTTTTGCCAAGTGCGCTGATTTTTGGGGGGGATGGAACGCAACATAAGATAACCAAAAAATATTTTGAATATACCCTCTGGTGAACTAACATAACTATGGAAAATCACCATGTTTAATGGGTAAATCCACTATAAATGACAATTTTCAATAGATATGTTTGTTTACCAGAGGGTACATATATATATATAATTATATATATAACATATATAACATATATAAACCAAGCATCACTGCTTACCGATGTCATCTTGGTAAGTTCAAAAAATCATGCAGCAGATCATGGCAACAAGTTCATATCTTCCACTACCCGGCCTGGTCAACGTGAAGCAAAAAAACGAACTGGAAAGATCCACCATGTTCAAATCCACTATTTCGACTGGGCAATGTTCAATAGCGAACTGTAACATATTACCAGAGGGTATGTCCTCACTTATATAATCCGTGAAGATCTACCCGTATCTCCAGGTATATCCCCAGTTTCAATCCAGTCTTGCCATAAATGGATGGTGGTGCCCGTTCACACGATGGTCACCAAAGGGGGTCAATATGTCACCAAGAAAGATCAACAATTTTACCCACTAAGCTGGTTTATAAATGACTATATTTGGTTGGTGGTATACCTTCAACCCCTCTGACAAATATGAGACAATGGGAAGGATTCTCCCTTTTTTATGAAATGGAAAAATCAAACAAATGTTTGAAACCACCAATTAACTATATCAATACTATCTCCTCAATTTCCCTAGGCTTTATGGTAGACTGATCTAGATATTCATTGACCCTTCACCGCAAAACACCGTTCCGGTCACCGTAAAACACCGTTCCGTTGCCAGGCCACACAGGTTCTTGTTGGGGCTCATTGATTTGACCTCAGGGAGGCCGAAGTTTGGGAGGCCCAGTTGTCTGACGTGGGGTGATTTTCATGCTGATACCAGATAACCCCAGGACATATTCCCAGGAAATAGCTATATATAATGCTAAATATACCATATAACATTATATAACTAGTCTGAAAAACCCTAGGAATATTTAGCTATTTTGATGGGAACTAATATCTGGGAAAGTGATGATTTCGTGTCGGAAAAACATCCGGATCTTACGGAGTTTCTGAGATTTTCATTCGTACCAAAGTGAAGTGCTGCGAATTTCTTCGTCGGGATTCTTGACCGCCATAACCTGGGGATTGAATCCCAAATTTTCCCATATGTTCCCTATCAAAAACGCTGGGAAAGTAAGGAAAAACCCTAGCTGGTTGACCATAGGTTAGTTCTTCAGCAAGGTCGTGGTACTTTTTGGAGTGGTCAGAGCGCCGTGGGTCAAGTTATGAACAAAATGTGAACATGGGAAAGTCTATGGTACCCTCTGGTAAACGTTTACATAGCGAACTGGAAAATCACTATTTTAATAGGTAAATCAACTATAATTTGGCCATTTTCTATAGCTATGTTAGTTTACCAGAGGGTAAACCCGCCGGTGCGATGTAGAAAAAGTTCGAAGTTTCTGATTCTTGTAGGGCGATCGTTGATTTTCCTGGCTAAAGGACTCGATCCATCCTGTCACTTTCAGGATCGCCTACAGCTATGGACCTGGGATGTACCGACTCTGGTATTTTTTTTCACCAATGTGACTAGGATTTTCTTGGTGGTATAATGGAGATACCATAGGATATAACCATAATGGGATAAATGATCTACCCTCTGGTAGCCTCTTCACTTGTTCCCATGAAGAAATAACCATGGAAATTATTGGGAAATCGTCGAATTAAATTGACCATTTTCTATAGCTATGTTAATTCACCAGACGGTATATATATACTATATACAGCAATCTAAGAGTATTTTGTTTCTTTAAAGAAACCTCGGGTTCATCAGTTCATCATCCC